GGCATTCCTTTATCTTGACCAATTTATTCTTGTTTACAAGAAATTCTTGGATAACCTTGAGATAAAAGACAAAATAGTTTAAGAGAGGGCAAGAAACTGAAATTTCAATTGATTAAAAAATTAATCTTTAAATAGGCTGGTTTGTTACCTCAGAGAATGGAAAGCCCTCACAACTGATAGCTTTTCTGCAGGTAAAATAAATGTGTTAGGAACTGAATACAATGGGAAAAATGCAGAATTTAAACGCTCACCCTGCACATGAATGCAGGGAAAAGCGGTTCAATTTCCAAGACATTCCTACTTTTTGATATTGTCTTCCACTGCACTTGCTTGTTTCACTCGCTCCAGCTGATGCCATTCACAAGGGCAGTATTTGGAGTCAGTGGGTTTGCAGTACCTAGTGCTTTCACAGACTTTACATCCATGGTGCTCATGTTCCTTAGAAGATCCTGCAGAAGCAGACGCACAGAGCATGAGAAGAAAAGAGGTTTCCAAAAATCTCCAGATATACAAAGATAACAGTACAAATACAAGGCCTATGAATAGCATCTGTAAGCAGATCTGAGTGTATTAGCTGTATTTATATATCTACAAGAAAAACTGTCAAATACAAACAAGCTTTCATTTTTTTATTATTTTCTTTTTAAAAGACTTTTTCCCCAATCGTTTCAGACCTCACACTGAAAACTTTATTACCTAAAAACTACAGAAGTAGCCAGTGACAACCTGATAAACGTATACAAATAATATATTTGAAACAAGCTTTTCCTTCTCCAAGTGATGGGTGTGAATGAGTTCACTGATCAAAGCGCTACTAAAATGAAATTCCATTGAGATTAAGTTATTTTTAAGAAAACACTGCAGCAAAACCCAGCAATGCTGATGGAGTCAGTCCTCTTAGTGAAGGACCAATTCAGACAACTAAAGACACAACTGCTTGTCAGTACAGCGTACTTTCCTTACTGGTAATGTTAAAAAAGGCAAGTATCTGGGATTTACAAAACAGCACAGTGATAACACTTCATCTGCTGTCAGCTACTTTCACATTTGAAGAAAGGTAGCCCCCACCTTAAAAATATTTAGGTAAAGATACATATATGCAATACTGAAAATGTGAAGATAGCTTAGAGGCTGAATGACAAGGAAAGCAGTTTTTAATGCTAGTCATAAACTCCAAAACCTAAGCAAACAAAAAACGCCATCCCTCATCTCACTCCCCCAGAATAAATATAAACAATTAGGCTAAAAATGAAATTCAGTGCTTTTCACACTGACCTGGATGATGGCACTTGGAACAGTGAATTACCCTTTTAGCATACAAAGGTGGATTATTATCACAATGAAATTGTTCCTTCCATTGCTCAAACCTAGAAAGATGATATTAAAAGGGTTAAGAAATATTTTTAACTTTCATACTTAAAATACTGAAAAACACTCTCTTTATACTTCTCAGGCATCTACCTGAGAGACAGTTTTCTAACTTACGAAATGGAATTTTTTTTTTTTATAAGTACATTATGTGATTGTTGGATTTCTAGTATTGACACTCACATTATGATAACAAACATAAAAAGCATTTGGTATCTTATGTCTTGACCCACAACCCAATTAAAAATCAGATGTCTCTCATCAGTGCTATGACTTCCTTTCCAATATATGAGCATACATCTACTAGCTCAAGAGCAAGGAACCAGTTAATGTTTAAAACAGTTAAGCTTGCCTAGCAAAACACATAATTCTTTTAGCAAATATAAAGCAAGGAACATGGTACTCTCTTCCCTGCCCACCAAATTCAAGTACTACAAACACTGTTTTGGAGCTGAAGTACCTACCAGCAAGTTTTTTGAATAACATCAAACTACCTCAGCGTGCAACATAAATTTTCACTTTACCTTTGCAGTAAGTTTTGACCTCTCAAACTCCCAATTAACTTTAAAGCTTTTTCTTTCCCAACTCCTGGAACGCCCTATAAACACAGAAATATGAAACATTATTTAATGACAAAGAAAGTACACAGATTTTCATAAAAACTGCTTTCATAACATTATGTAGAGAATGACAAAAAATGATCCCAGATGCTGAGAATAAATTGAGAAAAAAAATTTTTGACTGAGTTCTAAAGTCAGAGAAGGTCACAGTTTTCAGCTGTACTATCAGCGTAACACACAAGCTTCATAAAACATTCTTACGCTCAGATAAAACAGGGTGGAGAAAAAAGGTAGTAGAAAACAATAGGAAAATATGTCTTGTTTTCCTTCTTGGTATCTGCAACACGACAACAATATAAAATACAGGTAATGTTCTTGCCAGCTAAGTGTCAAGAGAGCTGAAACTTTTCAGAATTCATAGAATCACAGAATGCTTTGGCTTGGAAGGGACCTTAAAGATCATCTAGTTCCAACCTCTCTGGACAGATCTTCAGTCAAAAAAACTGGAACTTAAGAAATCCTCCAAAATGTTTTCACTCACAGAAAAGAGATGCTTTATGGCAACAGAAACAACCTCTAATATTGGAAGACCTCAAGCACTTATGTAAAATCAATTCTGGTGACAAAAAGCAGTGTAAGAGCATTTGCCGAAAAGCAATTAAAAACCCTAATAAAACCACAAATCCACAGAATTCCTCCCCTCCCTTTCAATAACTGCTTGGTTGACTTTGATATATACTCCATTTTTGCATCTGTAGTATGTATTTTATAGGAAAAGGGACTACCACTATGGACAAGAGATAGGAACAGCAAATATTTTCTGGACCCTAGGTCATGGACTAAAATCCAGAACTGGTAGTAGCCTCTAGACATAGTGAAAAGTGAGAGTCAGTTGATTCAAAACAACCATAATGATTTAAAAATGCACAAAATGCTCTTCCTGTTCCTCTTACAATCCTTATTCTGTTTTGCCAAGAATCAGTATAGTTGAATATAAAGATTGTACTCAGTGTGCTTGCTTTGTACAGCACTATTACAAATAAATCTATAGCTTATTTTTTTCAGCTGTACTGGCTGAACTGAATATATGCAACTATATGAAATAAATGTACATTCAAAACCAATCAGAAGCCCTCGTTGGACTGCAGCCAGACACTCAGGCAGAGAGTCAGATATTCTGCTTCTGTAAGGAAAGCATCGTTTTGATACATATTCAACAAAGTGAGTGTGATCAGAGAGTCGCGTTCTCATTTGTCTACTCTGCCAATCCACATTCCCAATGTGTTCCTGTAATTCAGCTTTCCATAGAAGTTTCTATCTTTACCCATTCTGCTGGGCTGCAGTAACCCAAAACACCTACCTGGCATTACATAAATCGTTTCACTTTTGGATGATGCAAGAACCTGCCATTCCGGGAGCTGCTACTTCCAGTACAATAACCAGTGATAAGTCATTATTTTTTTTTTTTTACTCTCTCTCTCTCTCTCCATTCATTTTGTTGTAGCAGTAGTAATAATTGTACAAATAAACTATTGAACGATTCCTATAACAGAAGCAAATCTTTCAGGAAAAAAAAAATTAGAGCTATTTGCTCTTTCAGCAGTATCAGTTGTTTAAAAGTACAGTTTTATTAAATTGGAACACAACGACTTTAGAATAACTGGATATCCACTGCAAGCCTGAATGGCAACCATTGCCTGAATCACTGTATGATGAACTGCATGGTAATCAAGTCCCACCTTACTTCCTTTCCATTTCAAATACCCACTACAACAGCTTCTGTTCAGCCTCTAAGCAAATTCAAGAGTTTACAGAAAAGGAAAAGTTAAAATGAAGTAAAGTAGTAATAAGTGAGCTCCCTCTCCATTAATTAGGCAAAATTTCAAACAGGTGACTCCTACTTCATCATAAATCATATATTTACAAATGTCAGAATCAGAAGGAAATACATCCAAAGGGCATCCATAACCGGCGTTACTAATAACTACAGTTCAAAACTACCACTACTAGCTATTCTAAACAGCATACACAAAGCTGGTTCTTCTCGTTTTCCACAACTACTCTGCCAGGGATGTACTTTACATATGAATGGGTTCAAAGTATCCTGTCAAACTACTCAGTTTCCATGTTTGCTCAAAGTAATCAACATCTAAAGTTTTGTCTTCACCTCCGTTATATAAAAGTCTGGCATAATACATAGAAAAATTTTGGAATATTAATGTTCACGAATCATTCTGATTATCTTTAAGCCTTCACAAATCAAATTTATAGTAACTTACTACGCATCTTCAGCTAGATCTCAGTAATTATGCACTGCATACAGTTTTGTCAAGACACATAAGTCTCCCTTGATATAGTCTTGAAAAACAATAAAGGGTGTACCTAATAAAAAATAATCATATTGCTTACCTTCGGAAGATAATCACAACCCAGAAGAACAGCTAGCCCAATCAAAGACTCTCTGTCACAACCAAGCTTCTCCTTAATAGCGGACATTGTGTAACAGTCAAGAAGTGGCTCCTGCAAGAGAAATTTATCACACATAACATCAGGGAAGGAACTGCCCTGAGTTACATTCAGTTGTAATTGTTTACCCATCCCTGTTCACTTACACCTGCAAGAAAGGTGTCTGCTCCCAAGAGATGTCCGACAGCAAAAAAAAAAAAAAGCAGCAATTAAAATTTATAATGTAATGCAGGGACACCACATGAATAACCGCAGTTCTGGAACTTCAAGATGTAAATATGGACATCAGCTGCTGAAAGAAACTAAAATAACACAAGAGGTGTTTTTATTGCTTATTACCTGTAGAAAACATGTGGCAAAACTAACATTATCTAGTACTAGTGGCTGTGTAAGTCATCTCAGGAACTGCAGTTTTTAAGATCCATGTAAACATTTTAATGTGCTACTTCAGCAAAAAAAAGAAAAAAGTAATTAAAATGTTGCCTAGCATATTAGCCATCAGCTAAAGTAACACTTGAAGTTTTGAGGGGTAGGCAGACTCCAACACATCAAAATAAAATCAGGATTAACATGAATTAAACCAGGACCTGCCCCTTCCCTTCCTGCCCCACAGAAAAAACCCCAAACCACCCCACGGAAGACAACAACCAATAAAATCCAGTTTCCTGGAACAGGTACCCCTGGCAGATACACACTTACATAAATTATTTTTCTACATTGACTTAAATATGTAACAAAGTACACCCAAAAGACTGAGGCCAGCTTCATTTTTGGTGATAAATGACAAGGAAGTTGAGTGAAAGAAAAGAGTTGGGTTGTTGCGAGGGATCTAATAACGGACTTCATGCCATGATCAATATGATCTACATGAGCCAATTTATTGCAAGGTTACATGCCTTGTTAAATGCTCGGCGCATATGTAATCGATTATGATTGGTTCCTAGCTAAGATTATTTGCTAAAAGCAAGCTTTGTTCATGTAGCAACTTGCAGTTTCTGCTTGGTCAGGTGCAGCGGTCTTGTGAGCTTGGGAGTGTTCACAGTTCTCCTTTCCCAAGACCTTCAGATCTTCTTGCTGAAACATTGTTTCTCCTCTTCTATGCATTGTTCATTCTCTTCTATGCCCTGTAGTGCCCTGTTTGCTCTAGGCCAAAGCCAGGGTTGCTCAAGTTCATAGATTCTACATGACCATAGTCCTGCAGAAAATCCTCAACATCTGGTCAAGACAAAACCCAAACACTGTGTCAAAGCAAATCATTTTCCATTGATTTCAATTACTTTTTAGAAGCTAACGGGTCATTGTGCTTTTTTTCTGTTCCACTGATTTTCTCCTATTAATGAAGTATTTTATCAACAAGTCTTTCAGATGAACATTAGTTAAAATTCCAAAGCCAGTATCATTTTTCCTACACTTTCTTGTTATATTCACCAGAGAGAACACATGCATTCCTTTCTCTGATATATAAAGTATAAATTACAGAGATTTGGGGTTGCCTTCCCCCAGTTCTGGAAAACTGCATTCCTAACAAGTGAACACTTCAGCTCAGTATCATAAACTTATTTGTTTTTTTGAATATTCACAACAATTGATTATGACACAGATGTAAAAGCCCTACCCTGTTGATGTTCAATTGGAGACTAAGAGTATTACTTGTAAGTATATTCATAATAAAACAAACCTGTAAGACACACGGCTGTGAACAGTGTTATTAGACCCATGAGGCTGACCACTCCCATCTGTCCTAACAGTAAATTTACAGAAAGCAGTTTTTTCACTCTAATTCTCCATTGTAGAGGAGGAAAGGGAAAAAAAAAATTTGCTACTTAGCTTTGGATTACGCATCACAGGACACTATAAACACAGACAACAATACCACCAGTGTTCTTCAATTCAGTTGTTTTGCTCTCACATCTGGTACACGGACTGCCAGTGAATCAAACAAACCTGTCTTCAAAGTACTGTTTTAAACAGAACCAACTACTAGAGGGTAACTGCAATAGTACCTAAGTAATTGTTTCAAGTCCTTCTATTTATTTACATTTTTGGTAAGAGTCTAAAGAGAAGGTGAGAACGGGAAGAGACACATTACCTTAGCATTCACGGCAAAGTTCCTATACACTGTTTGAGCGCCATATAAGAAGACATCTCCATCATTCGTGATGCAGCCATCAACACGTCCTTCTGCATTTAGGTAGGCACACATGGCCTCTGCTTCCCCGGCTGCTTGAACCCAAGGGACACCTAAACAATCCAGCAGTTCAAGACACTAGAAGAAGGAATTCAAAAGGAAAGACAGATAGAATGCTGAATTAGATCCACTTATTAGCATGCAATTTCTTAGACACAAGTGTATATAACCAGCCACTGTTGCACTGCCTATGGAACACTACATCAATACAAGCACTGCTTCAGGAGAAATAGAGTTTACCATAACAGTCAAAAGAAGTATTAAGCTAAGAACAAAGTATTAGTTACAGGGCTTGAACACTGCATGATTAATAGTTACTCCTTCTACAAAAATCTTTACACTTTAAATAGATATTTAGGATGTTTTCAAAAGAAGAGCAACAAAGAAATATTTATGTTTACTCAAGCAGTAAAACTGGGCTAGTACAGACATCTTTCAACAGACACCAGGCAGTATCAAACATGAAAGTACAGCACTGTTGGCCCAGTAAGACTGGACCACAGTATAAGACATACTGATACACACTCATATATACTTCTTAGAAATTTCAGAAAAAAATAATTTATTCTAGAATTTAAGAATAAACCGTGAATAAATACATCCATTTGATCTACTGAAGCTGTGTGCGCCTATAAATTCTACTTAATAAAATTCTGAAGAGACAAAAATCATTAAATATCTGCAACAACAAAGAAGAAAATTACTGTATACGAGGTCTTTTCAACCAGAGTTATCTCAAAAATCTATACCAAGATAACTATGCTATGCTAGTAAAAGAACTATTAGGTTCTTTTTAACCTAATTCAGTAGGTTTCAAACAAGTGTATTCTCTCAGCTGCTCAGCTAATTCACCAAGGGACAGATCTAGGTTACGAAACAGTTCTGTGTACTCCCCTCAAAAACACACTAGCTTAGTCTTTTCAACCAGAGTTATCTCAAAAATCTATACCAAGATAACTATGCTATGCTAGTAAAAGAACTATTAGGTTCTTTTTAACCTAATTCAGTAGGTTTCAAACAAGTGTATTCTCTCAGCTGCTCAGCTAATTCACCAAGGGACAGATCTAGGTTACGAAACAGTTCTGTGTACTCCCCTCAAAAACACACTAGCTTAGCTTCCTGTAAAACACTCCTGCTTTCACATATACCCCAATCTAGGGTAATTAAAAAAAAAAAGTATCAATACTAACACTACAAAAGAACAAGGAAGCTGAATTTCTGTAGTAAACGCTCAGTCATGACTGTGGCTCGCAACAGCGTAACAGAACGCATCAAAGGAAACTATTCTGACATTGTCCCTCTTCTACAACCACTGTTAACAGATGCTGTAAGGCCCAATTTCAAAGGCATGTGTTCCCTCAAAACTCAAAATACTGCTGAAATTTGTCGTGTAGAAAACCATTAAATCTTTCAGGTTCTTGTATTCAATTTGGTTAAGATTTCTTCCTATCACATTGAAAACACTGAAACATTATTCACCTCTTTCAACATGGCTTTAAATAAAGATCTCCCTGTTCTTGCAGGTCCAGCTTTCTCTGAAGGTCCATAGCGCATCTCGTTCCTCTTACTCATGGTGTCCACTTTCAACTCGGGGGCCTCTCCTTCCATGACAAACACTAGTTTAATTCCCATTGATGTTAAGAAAGAGAACCGAAAAAACAGGTTTCTGCAAAACAATCAAGGTGTTCCATAAGCTGCAGAATTAGCGAAGCCTGATTTCTTCAGACATTTTCCTTACATCCCTCAGCCTACCCCAAGAACGCTCTCAGCTTTCTCTCCATTTTTTCTGACTCCCTCACCCCCAAGCTAACAAACCTTTTACCTTTATCCCTGTCTTCAGCTGAAGACAGAAATATATAAGAATATATACACACTGATTTGTGTTCCCTGATAATCTGTGTATCACACAGCACCGTACCACAGAAACATAAATGTGGTTCTGCTCACATCTATCTCGTCCTTATCTACAGTTGAGGCCTTCAGACAAAGCAGGCTGGGCCCAAGAACCCAAGCACTAAGTTGCCAGTATCACCGAGCCTTCACTTCAAACCCTTTATGCAAGTAACACAAGCGTTAACAACAGAATCAAAACACAGCCATACGAATTTCGGAGATAGTCTCAAATTTGAAAGAAGTACCATACCTAAGCTCCAAGACTTTTGGCTACAATAATTTATAAGGATACCATACCTCAGATGTGGCCTGGTAACTACTCCAATCATCTTTTTGACGGCCTGTGCTTCACAAACCCACAGACTTAAATCCACAGCAAGCGTTTTTCCTCTGAGACTGCTCAAGCTGACAGGTTGTCTCACAGGCTCAAGGATTTGCCACAGATCAGTCACTCCCATTGTTCTAGCTTCTTTGGTATCAGTGTGAAGGTTTCAGCTGTGAAGGACAAGCAAAATAACGTACTTTCAGAATATAACACCAAGTGTGACATACCATGAACATGACATTCAGAAAATAAATATTTAGTCATTATCAATTTTACTTTTAGTCATTACCAATTTTACTTTTATGAGCCAAGAATATTTGCAATCAAGCCTTCTAAGCATGTAGTGACTCCAGTGCACAGATGATAGATTACTAAATACCTTCTTGGGACTGTACATTTTCACTACTAATACCCTGAACATAAATAAAAACATACTGAATTATGGAGGGTGAGGGGGGAAAGGTAGAAGAGGGGGGAATCATTAATTTCCAAGTCTCATATGTCCCTTACATACACACAATCCAAGCAGTATTTAAAACCAAACAACCACACCTCTTGAGGAAATCACTGGAGCACCTCTCCTACAATGAAAGGCTGAGAGAGTTGGGCTTGTTCAGCCTGGAGAAGAGAAGGCTCCAGGGAGACCTTACAGCACCTTCCAGTACCTGAAGGGGCTACAAGGAAGCTGGGGGGGACTTTTTACAAGGGCCTGTAGTGACAGGACAAGGGGTAACGGGTACAAATTGAAAGTGGGGCGGTTTAGATTAGATATCAGGAAGAAGTTCTTCCCGGAGAGGGTGGTGAGGCACTGGAACAGGTTGCCCAGAGAAGCTGTGGATGCCCCATCCCTGGGAATGTTCAAGGCCAGGCTGGATGAGGCTTTGAGCAACCTGGTCTAGTGGAAGGTGTCCCTGCCCATGGTCAGGGGGTTGGAACTAGATGATCTTTAAGGTCCCTTCCAACCCAAACCATTCTATGATTCTATGAATTACTTTCTGATCTGAAGTGATAAGACTCACATTAAAATGTTCCTGTTCAAACAGAAGTAGCTTAAAGCTACTTGAGGAGTATTTACAATGATGACAGAACCTAAATCATATTGGAATACTAAGGAGAGTTTAAGGGTCAACAACAACAGATTCTGGCTTGGGAAATTCAAGCTGGACTTCAAGAACAAATGAGAGAGGGTACTGTAATACTGGTTGACCAGAGGCTGTAAAATCTCCATTCTTGGAGATTTTCAACATCCACCCAACATACTGTTTTATCCAATACTGGTGGAAGTCCCCCTCTGAGCAGGGAATCGGCATTATTGACCTCCAGAGGTCCCTTCCAACAAACATTCTGAGATTTAGAACACTTTGATTCCAGAAACATGCCAGGGCATATGTTTTTACTATTTAAATGTTGGTATTGTCTGACTGGCACTATCTATAATGAAAACCAGCTGAAAACATATGCCCGTTAAGTGGTATATTTCTTTATCTCTTAATTAACAAGTAATTTTCTTCCTTTCCTTCTTACCTTTTTCATTATTCTTCTAGTTTCCATACCTTGTAATTTCTATGCAAGGCCTCTAACACATACTTTGCTTTCCCCCTCTCACAATACCAATCCATTCCTGCCCTGTCTTGCTGTACAAAGTTTGCCTCATGCTTATTTCTTTACTTTCCTCTTCTCCCTCAACATTAGAATATACAAATCAAATAAAATCTGGATTGTTTCATATTTCTTTCATCCTGAGTTTGACACTATGGTATACTGAGGTAAAATAAACTCCTCCTTTGAATAAATGACTAGATGCAGTAGCTACCTGTGGTCTGAGATCCGCTCAGGACACATGAAGAGCAATGCCACTCGGCGGCCTCTGGTGAACATTGCCATGTTAAATTCAGCAAACTTGCACATTTATCACCATCACAAACTGTCAGAACAGCAAGCCTGTCTTTGTAGGCTGTGTTGGTTTTATATCCTAGCAGCTAATCAATAATACACCATTTCTGCCACTGCAGGCATCCCAGGTTGTTTTCAAATCAAGTTCTCATGTTAAGATTTGCTTTCAACAGAAATCATGTTTCTTTAACTACTTCAATCACTCAACCAATTCCAGTTCTACACGTACATATGTTGCTTTTGTGGTTATATCTCAAGCACATAAAACCAGTTAAAAATATAAATTAAGCCACAAATACATAGCATGATTTCTTGAAGTTCAGGATGATCATTTCTCTGATGCACAGAGGAGGCTAACGAAAGGCATCCAAACCTTCTCCAGAGGGGTTGGAACTAGGGGATCTTTAAGGTCCCTTCCAACCCAAACCATTGCGTGATTCTGATTCACAAAAGGCAAGTGTAACATTCAGCTTGAGGGGGGTTTAACAAGAGAACACCCAGTAAAAAAAGGGAAATGTCTTTTTTTTTTGGTGTTATCATTTGGTTCCTGCCAGTCTACATCAATATACATTTAAAAAAAAATGTGTTAGTTGGTTTATAAACGTTGTTATGGAATGTCAAGTGGCACTTAATTAACAGGGAAAACACATACACTACAAACACATTCCATAAGATAACAAATAATAAAGAAAAAAGTATAAAAAGCTGGAAAACTACAAGAAACCCACACTTCCTTCCATTAGGACCTAACATTGTTATTTGGGAACATACGTTTTCCTTACCCCATTTAATGTATATCAAAGGTTGAGTTATGCTGGACAGTGAGACCCACCAGTCTTTGCTTTTTTGAGCGCATTCCGTAAACCATTTAGCTCCGGATCTTGTATACAAACAGAGCTCCTACTTCTAACAGGAGCGGTCTGTCTACTCGGGTTTTATTAAGGAGCTCTGCTCGCCACAAGCCTCCAGTATTCTTAGGGATAGTAACTTCCAAAGTTGCCTGAACCTGATTTTTTTCATACACTTACGGATGACTGAACAGACCAGGCTATTATATCATTATCACCGGAAAAACAGTCCAAAAACCGAGATGAAACAACGCACCATGCAGACAGGGCATTTCCCTGTCCCGCGGTGAGACCCACAGCCTCCTGGAGGGCTCTCCCCGCCCGCTGAGGCCTGCGGGCCCAGCGCCCCGATTTGGGAGCCTCATCCCCCGCAACGCTCCCACTTCCCGCCCGCGGAGCCGAGGCCGTGACGCCCT